GAAGCCACTGCAATGAGAAGCCCGCACACTACAACTAGAGAAAGCCCACGCGCAGCAAGGAAGACCAAAAGCAGCCAAAACTAAATAAATAAAATTCAATTTTAAAAAGTTCCTGGGCTGTCACTTGTAAGTTTTCATTTACTCCTTACAACATCTATGAAGGATAATGAGAAATAGAGTATATTGTGGTAGCTAAGAGCACTAGGACCTTGGATTCAGAAAGAGCAAGCAATCGGCCAAATCCAGAGCATGAGAGAGTCTACTGGACAAATGACCTGGCTTCTCCATAAAATCAATTACAAGGGAAAAAAAAGTATGTGTGTCTGGGGGGAGTGTAGGGTGAGGAGGTGACTGTCAAAGAATACAGTAGACTTAACAACTAAATGCGATGTGTAAAACTGTTTGGATACTAATTTGAGTAAACGAACAGTAAAAAGACACCTTAAACAATTGGAGAGGCTTTTAAATGGACTAAATATTAAATGATATTGAGAAATAATTATTAATTTTGTTGGATGTGCTAATGGCATGGTGGTTATATTAAAAAATTTCTCACTCAGAGATGTATAATGAGGGATTACACATAATCCCTCATTATATGAGTAAAGTAATATCTGGGATTTGCTTTAAAATACTGGAAAAAAATGAGGAGGGATAGATGAAACAAGACTGGAAAATGTTGATAATTGTTAACACTGGATGATGGGTATGTGGCGCTTCACTCTACTACTCTCTCTCACCTTTCATACATATGCTTAAAATATTCTATAACCAAGTTAAAAATAAAAATAAATAATAAAATATATAAAAGGAGAGAGAGAAACAAAAAAGACCTGGTCTGCTTCCTGGCTCAGCCTCTTACTAGCTAGGTTACCTTGGGGAAGCTATTTGATATCTGTAAAATGGCAATAATAAGGATACGTAAAGCATTTAACACAGTATGGGCTGCATAGTTAAGCTCAATAAATGTTAGCTAATGTTGTTATTATGAAAGAAATAAAAAATATGTAATAGATTTGATTTACAGTAATTTTAAAACTTCTTTGTATCAAAATATCCATCATTAATTACAGTATAATTTGTAACTGAGAACACTGGAAACAATATAGATGTTCATTTACTGGAGTTTAATTAAATAAATTATATACATTTTTATAAGGGAATTTCATGCATCTATAAAAATAATCATATTTCTAAGTCAAGACCTATCAATTCTATCACTTAGCATCATTTTGGAGATATTACATAATGCAAACAGACAAGAAAGAAATTAAAGGTAAAAATGAGAAAGAAAAAGGTAAAATTTACCTCTGTGGATGATATGCTTACATACTCAAAAAAAAAAAAATCAAAAGAATCAACTGAAAAATGTATAAACCAAAAGGGAATTCAAAGTAAAGTAGCTGAGTACAAAAACTAATATAATAGAAATCAATAGCTTTCAAATATACATCCAATTAGAAATTATATTGGAAAAGACCCCATTTAAACTGCAAAAATAATAAAAGATAAACTCCCTAGAAAAGAGGTTAGCAAGAAATGGGCAATATCTATAAGAAGGGCACAAAAGAATACTTGGCAAAATAAAAAGGCACCTCTTATTCTTAGATAGGAAGGTTCAGTAGTATAAAGAGGTCAATTTTCCCTAATTAAAGATATAAATTTAATGTCATCCAAATAAAAATACCAGCAGAATTTTAGACAACTTGACAAGCTAATTCAATAGATCACATGGAAAAAAATAAAAAGCAAGAATCTTCAGGAAAAAAATCTAAAAAGAGAGTAATAAGGGGAAGACTAACCTGACTAGATATTAAAACATTATAAATGTGTGATACTGGCCAAGGATAGATATACATATTGATGTACCAGAATAGAAAATCTAGAAATAAATCCAAATACATACAGGAATGAAATAAATTTGTTGCCCACATATCCATACAAAAGGAAGTTCTAAGGGATGTTCTTTAGGCAGAAAGACAAAAAAAAAAAATCAAAATAATAGAAATGTGTAAATTTGCCTAGTTGGAAGTCAGACATCTCTCAAGCTTGTCTTTGGTCTTTACAAAGCTCAATAAAAACTACTTGCAGATTATCGAATGTGGTCTCTCATGCCTATACATTTCAGTATACTGTTCTTTGTGTCTGAATGCCATTTTACATCTCCCAATCTGCCAAACCCATACCCAAGCTTCAAAAAAGTTCAGGAGTCATTCTTCCCTTAAGTATTCTTTCTTTGAGAAGAAATAGAGTATGTGCAGTGTCTCCTAAATGTTGATTTTCCAATTTCTTGCATCTCCATTTTGTTCTTCATCTGTTATTTGTTCTTTACACCACTGCCAGAGGAATACTGCTAAAATATAGATCTGATAGTGTCTTTCTCCTACTAAAAAATAGTTGATGCCCACTAAATGCCTGAGTGTCTATAAAATAAAATATGAACTTCTAGGGACATGAGAGGCTTTTGAGGCCTTCCAGCACTCACCTCCAACCTACTTTCTGTCCTCAGCTCTACCATGTATATGAGTGTGCACCCTATATTTAGAGCCACTGCAGCCCTTACCATTCACACACCTAGCTCTCTTGGTGCCTTTGTTCGCCCAGAACCTTCAGCCTGATATGCCGCCCTCCCTCCCCTAACCCTACTCCTCACCCCCAACCCAAATCTCTCCAATCCCTCATCCACCCCAATCCCTAGTCTTCTCTGCTCACTGAGATTTTTCAAAGCTGTTTTCAATGAAACCACATCTAAAATCGATTAAGTATGACTCATTCCTGAGCTTCCATAATTCATGTTTATTTTATTATGGTTGATATTATTAAAAATATTGATATCAGTTGTTTATATGTCTGTCACTGTCTATAACATTCATAGAAGTCAGGGCCATGTCTTACTAATTTGTTTCATCCTGGTAGCTTTAAATACACTGCTTACCACATGGTAATAAATACTGACACACAAAAATAAATAATTTTTGCACAGCAAGAAATAAAGTAGCGCCTGACACATGGTAAACATTCAATAAATGTGAACTCTTTCTAGTGGTAATAACAGATGCTCAATAAACATTCTGTGAAAAATGGCAAAACCAGTTGTGCTGATTTATTATTAGCCAGCTAAGTTCTTTTAGAATTGATACTGCTTGGGAATCATTATAAAGAGTTTCAATTTCCTCTTTTGGTGACAGCAAAATTTTAGGTTACAGAACCTCAGAAAGGGCCTTAAGATATTTTTCAAGACCTAGGTTCATGTGTCACTTAATCTAGTCTCCATACAGATAGAATTAAATATTGAAATCTTTTTATATCCATTTAATCCCTGAAACTTAGTATAATTCTTTTTTTTATACTTTTCTGTCTGTTTTTAATAGATGAAAGATTTACAAAATCATAATTAGTCTCCTTTAGCAGCTAGTGTGGCCAAGACAAATCACATCAAAAGTACCTGTCAACTTACTTCCTGTAGACTAGAGGATAAACAAGTCTTTTTTTTTTTTTAACTTCTTTTTTTTTTAACTTTTCAAGATAAATAAAGTATACATTATTAGGACTTTTCACAGCCAAAAGTCAGTTTTTCACTTCCATTCCACATGGAAATTTTTGCTGTGGCTTATTTGTTTTCACAGCTGTATGATATTCCATAGCATATCTGTTTCACAATATATTCATCCATTTTTCTCTTGCTGTACATTTAGATTGTTCTAGGTTCTTTTCCTCTTTCAAATAATTCTGCAATGTATTCTTCTGTGTGTCTCCTTATGCACATGTGGGAAAGTCTCTAAAGATGGGTAAGTACTTCCTCATCTTTTTTTTTTTTTAAATATATTTATTTATTTGTTTTTTTGGCTGCTTTGGGTTTTCGTTGCAATGCCCTGGCTTTCTCTGTGAGATCAGGCATCTTTTCCTGTATTCATTGGCTTTTTAGATTTCTTCTGTGGATTGCCTGTTTGTACCTTTTGCCTAATTTTCTATTATTTGTTTTTATCTCATCAATCTGTAGTTTGTTTGTTTTTACATATACATTCTAGATACTAGTCTTCTGTTATTTATAGGCTATGTCTGTGCAGGTCCTCCAAGAAGCAGACACCAAGAGGGAATTAGAAGTGCAAGACAATTACTGGGGGTCAATGCTTCTGAAGGGTAATGGGAAAAGGAACAGGAGTGGTTGAGAAGAATCTTTAGACCCCAGTGAAGCTCTTGATACCGTCTCATTGCGGCTTCTCCTTTGTCTTTGGACGTGGGGTATCTTTTTTGGTGAGTTCCACTGCCTTCCTGTCGATGATTGCTCAGCAGTTAGTTTTGATTCCGGTGCTCTCGCAAGAGGGAGTGAGCGCACGTCCTTCTACTCCGCCATCTTGAACCAGTCTCTTAGTACAATTCTTAATACTGAGTAAGCACTTTAAAAATGTTGGTTGTAAATGTCCATCAACAGATGAATGGATAAAGAAGAAGTGGCACATATATACAATGGAATATTACTCAGCCATAGAAAGAAATGAAATTGAGTTATTTGTAGTGAGGTGGATGGACCTAGAGTCTGTCAGACAGAGTGAAGTCAGAAAGAGAAAAACAAATACCATATGCTAACACATATATATGGAATCTAAAAAAAAAAAATGTTCATCTCACTGATGAAACTGCAGGGCAGGAATAAAAACGTAGACATAGAAAATGGACTTGAGGACACAGCGGGAGAGGGGGGAAGCTGGGGTGAAGTGAGAGTAGCATCTATATATATACACTACCAAATGTAAAATAGCTAGTGGGAAGCAGCAGCATAGCACAGGGAGATCAGCCTGGTGCTTTGCAACGACCTAGAGGGGTGGGATAGGGAGGGTGGGAGGGAGGCTCAAGAGGGAGGGGATATGGGGATATATGTATGCATATGGCTGATTCACTTTGTTGTACAACAGAAACTAACACAGTATTGTGAAGCAATTATACTCCAATAAAGATCTATTAAAAAAATAATAAAAATGTTGAAGGAATGAACAAATAAATGAATTAGGACAAATTGTTTATGCAGCAGAATCTCCAGACAAACTGTGAGCACATCACATATAAAGAATATGTTTTGTTCATCTTTTTGTCTCCAGCACCTAGCATGGTATCTGACACAAAATGAATGTTTACTAAATAGCTATTTATTAAATTAGAGATAAATGATAAATACAGTTTACTTTATAAATGCAAAGAAGGAAAAACAAAACACATTGTTGTATCATGTAACCTTGTACCAAAGATTTATGAATAGATTTATTAATGGGATGGAATTTCTACCTTGAAGATATAGAAGTAAATGTGGAGACTGAGAAGTCAGGTCACCTTAGTCCTCTAGAGTGGTTAAAGCTAACTAGTCCCTGTGAATGAGAATCTAGCCTAGCTGAAGATCTCTAGCCTCTATTTACACAGCATTGGCCCCAGGACAACACAGTCAGGGCAGGCTGTGGTCACATCTCTTAGCCTAAGAATACATACCTGTTAGGGAAATTTCCTATTTCTAATGAAAAAATAAAGACCTTGGGTGGAGAGAAGAAAAGTAGTAGGAGTGTCACTTGAAGCACAAACAAACATGGAAACTGAACAGACAATCTCTGTATCATTACATCTTCTTCAAGAAAGGCACACCAATTCCCTTCCAAGGTATATCAGTATGTTGCATCGTTGTGGAAGGAATGGAAGAGCAGGATGGGGTTGCCTGGCTGAAGTCACATCTTGGGGAAGCTGGCCAGGTTGGCAATGCCACAAGCGTTGTTCTTATTCCGGGCCATGAGGATATAGCCTTTGTTTCCCCAGTTTTCTCCCCAGCTGTAGGTCCAAGCAAGGAAAATACTTAGTACCCTCAGTTTATTCAATAAAACATTTACTGAGTATTGTACCTGAGTATAGGTACTGATGTTTTAAAAAAATGAATAAGACAGTTTTTATCTTTAAACAGTTTAAAGTCAAGAAATGGAGGCATAGTGCTATAGGAGAAATTGCTTCTGACCAAGGGGATCAAAAAGGGCTTAAGAAAAAGGTGGCATTTGAGCTGAGCCCAAAGGCGGATAGAATTTGGACCTGTGGAAATGGAAGCCAGCAGGGGAGTGCGAAATGAGTAACAGAGGCAGGAAAGCATGGGACATGTGTTAGGATTATGTAGCTGAAAAACAGGGTGCTTGACAGGGTGTAGTGGGAGATCAGGTTGAGTGATCTTTACTGCCAGGCTAAAGAGTTTGACTCTCTGGCCCATGATAGTAGAGGAGACACTGAAGTTTTCTGATTGGGAGAGTAAAATCATTCAACTTGTGTTTTATGAAGACTAATCTTGAAAACGTGAGTCTAGAGCATAAAAAGAGGCAAGAGAGGCTGAAGCTGGTGATCTTGGTTTAATAGAAGAAATGAATGAAGCTATGAGAATTGATGAGATTGCTAAGGAGACAAGTGGAGAGACTGGAGGATTAGATACAGGTAGACAAAGACAGAGACAGAGACAGACAGAGAGAGGGAAGATTGGTCTATACATCTTCCTAAATTGTTTTCATGAGTTTTTTGTCCTTTTTCTCCAACCAGAAAATTCACCAGTTACCCGGTACATTTTACTTAAGACCTTTACCCTACCGCCGTTCCCTTCTCCAGGGGTCCCCAATGATCCTGATCCTGCCTAGGTGTGTCCTTTATTCTTCCCAGCTCTCTTGGCACTTGATCAAGAAAGGACAGTGTAAGTGCTTGTGCTGGGAGTCGAGAAAGGGAGAACACAAGACAGAAGCTGTGGGAGAAGGAACATCCCCTTAGAAAGGTGCTCAGGTTCACTCTTAATTGGGACTGTGATATAAAAAGTTGCTTCAGGTTTGAAGCAACTCCCAGCCTTACATTCTATCCAGCCAGCCCTCCAGGCAGCAAACCCAACTTGGTTATACTACTGCATTGGCCTGTGCACTCCCCGGAGTCTAGGACCCCTGCTCTTTGGAGGGCACCAAGGACAGAAAATTTAATCAGTGCTACTGCTAGGCTGGTGTTGACCAATGAGGAAAGAAAAAGAATAACTACCCTAAATCTGCCCCCCTACAAAGTCACAAGGGGCTAAAGAGAAATGGGGAGCCAACTACTACTAACGTGTAGTTTTATTTGTTCCCAATAATAGAGAGGGAAACACTAATTTTTTTTGTTGCTCATATCTACTTTCTGAAAAGCATTTCTCTTCACAGACTTCAAAATCTTTGGCCAGTTCTTATATATGTCTATCCTAAGTGTATCTGGAAGGGCAAAAAGCTGCACAAGAAGATACTAAACTTTTACTTTGTTTATACTGTACCCTAGTGCTTATACACAGACTGATGATGGAAACCTCTCTAAAAAATCAATCACATTAGAGAGAAAAGAAAGAAAAAAATATAATTCCAAAGCTCCTGCTGGTTCTTGGTGCTACTTTATGTTCTCATTTAGCTAGGTCTGTCTTTCTTAGGGGGCTATGAGATCACTGAAGACAAACATCTGCTCATGTGTTTGTATATGTGACTAAGCACCTTGAACATATAGAAGCTGCCCAACACATACCTTTAGTACACTTGTCTGGTCATTAAATGTTAGAATTAATAGCCTCTGATTGGGAAGGTAGAATTGAAACATCTGAGAAAACTTTCTCTTGATTTAAGAGAAAGGAATATTGGGAAGTTGGAGTTGAGGGTGAGTGTTAAGAGGATGACATGTAGTGTTCCCATCATTACCTGTTTTTAATTATCCAGTGCTTGTTTCCCTTCTGGATCCCGTATCCCACTGCCAAAACTGCATGGTTCAGATTATCACTATTGCAGTTTTCATCGTAATACACACCTAGGAAACAAACTATCAAGGTGAAGCTTTCTGCAATCCAAGGGTCACGCTGTGAGGTCTCCCACTCTAGAAGACCCTCTGTAGAATCCCATCCCAGTCAAGAGGACTTACAAAAGAGATGCTCTGTGCTGTGGCAGCTGTTTCTCCCTGGCAGACTCAGTCTTTATGGAAACAAGTACTGAAAATGCTCAGCACCCTTCGAGAAGCTGCCCAGCCCACGTCATAAGAGAAGGTTGATTGTGCTCTGTAGGAACAGTGCCTTACCTTTTCTGTAAAACTGGAAGGAGGTCAGGCTTGCATCAATGGCCACAGAGACAGGTCCCACTCGGGCCACTGCCCTCTTCAGGGCTTTTTCATTTCCCTCAGGGATCTCTCTGTACCCTCTGCACTTAGCTGCCTTGCCTGTTGGGTTGTACATACAACTTTCATCCTGGAAAAAACAGGTTGAAATAGGACTAGGACTAAGCAACAGGCAGTGAATCAGTGAGTGAGGAATTCTGCCAATGTTTTGGGTGATGTCAGAGCACTAACAGGGGCAGCAGACTAGAGTCTCTAGAAAGGGTCTGTTCTCTCCTCACCATTTTAGAAACTATAAAAAAAAGAATATGAAAAGTGGATACCTTGTACCATACACAAAAATCAGCTCCAGGTGGTTTTAAAACATAATTGTGAAAGGAAACACTGTAAAACTTAAAAAAGAGAATATTTTTTATTTCTACCTCAGGGTAGAGAAAGATTTCTGAAATAAGATTTTTTTTAAAGCACAAATCATCTTCCGGCAATGTAGTATGTGTGATCCTCAGTAGGCAGGGAGGCAGCAGCTGCTGTGTGGGGAGGAGGCCAAGGCCAAGACCCAGCTAGAGGGAGGACCTTGGCCCCAGGCACATATAACAGGCAAAGAGTTCTGGCTGGACCCTTGTGCTCTCATGAAATAAAAGCACATAACATGACACTAAAACAAATTAATAAAGAACTTAGCAATTTAACCTGTGAATTTCCAGTGTTATGTTTTGCAGGTCTAGTTAACAATGATATGTTTCATTGTCAAGCTACAATTACGGAATCTAATGGGAACCCACATCAAGGCGGTATATTCTTTTTGGCAGTTCATTTTCCTACAGACTGCCCCTTCAAAACCCTGAAGTTGCACCTACAAGAATACATTGTCTAAATATTAACAATAATGGCAGCAGTTGACATGATATTCTAAGATTACAGTAGTCTCCTGTCTTAGTAATTTCTCAAGATTCCTTTGTTATCTGCCATATGATCCAAACCCTTGATGCCTCCTAGTGCCAAAAATTGCATAGATCTACAAGTAACATAAAATATCTAGGGAATGGATTTGGAAGGATACCACGTGATGATACTTTAAAAATAACCTGTATTATGGCTGGAATGAACTTAAATTACTGTATTATCTGGCTGCTGCCCTATCAGATCTCTTCTTTTTTTAAATTTTGTTTTCTTTACCTCCTTCCATTCATTTACACGTTCATATAAGAAGTTCTTTCAGTTTTGGACAATAACTGCTTTTAAAAACTGTAAAGTAGAAAAGAGAACAGTTGTCCAAGATTCAGAATGTTAAAAATAGAATACATGTTTTACATGGCTAATTCTTCATTTTAACTGATTATGAGACCAAAATCATTGCACATTTCTCTAAAATGCTGACAAGATCATTTGAGGGGGTAGGAGAACAGAGATTATAAGTCAATTGCTCCTTCTATTCCAAAATAGGGTTTCAAATGTTATGTAATTTTCCTTTAACTTATTCAGAGTTTCTGAGTTATTAGTTAAACTGTCTCTCAACAAACTGGTTAATATAGTACTGAATAAATGATGCAAGCTGTCAATAGATAAGTGATCAACTACTAGCTCTAATAATATTTAAGTTATGTTTTTAATATAGTTAGACAACCCTTTAAATTGGTTGCCTGGATTAATCAATATGAAAAAAGTTATAAACATGAATCTGTTTTTTTGTATACACTGTTAGGATCTGTTTAATTTTTTTGATGTCAAGTGACAACAAAAAGTTGTCAGGAGAATATTTGACAGTTTAAAAAAGAATATTTTACCAGGCCAGGTTATCTCACTGACTGGCCTGATGTACTCAGAATTCAAAAGCTAACCTTTTAGGACACCTTCAGGGTGCTGTGCCTTATGGCAGCAGCCCCAGGGTCAGATATGGACTGGGGACCCAGCAGTTCTGAGAACTGTACACAGAGTAAAGAAAAAGCTTTCCACACACAACCTCCAACTTCTCCGACTTATTTACCTGACAGCTAAAACAACCATAACATGGAATACTAATGGCATGACATTTATGAAATGAAGCAGTTTTGATGTGGCCAATGTCACGATGATGTGCTGAAGTGACATTACTGTGTAGGTTGCTGAGTATCCAGTAAAATGGATCTGTTCAGTCATTTACATTAATGAGCATTTTTGTTGCAGGAGATACCATTTCAGATGACTAAACACGAATAAACAAAACTCGCTGTTACTGGATTTTTTAAAGGCACAAATTGCAAAGGAAAAAAATTAATAATTTTTCTACACTAAAATTAAGAACTTTTCTGGATTGAAAGACATCATAAAGAGAATGAAAAGAAAAATAGACTCACAACACACATAGTATTAGTATCCAAATATCTTTTTTAAGTTCCTAAAAATCAGTAAAAAAAAGAACACAACCTAAAGATGGGAAAAGATATAAACAGGCAATTCACTGAAGAAGAAATGCAAATGGCCAGATAAGCATACCAATGAAGAGATGAATCAATAGGATTTCTTATACTGTGCAGGTGGGAAATACAAATTTTTCCAAACACTTTGGTAAACAATTTGACATTATCTAGTAAAGAGGAAGATGCACATACCCCAAGACTCAGACAATTCTGTTCCTAGATATTATATTCTAGTAAAGAAATTCTTGTACATGTGCATAGAAGATGTGCCCGGGAATGTTTGCAGCAGATAAACAGATCCAATAGATAGATCTTGGCTCTGCTACGTAACTAGAGGTGTGAGTTTGAATATGCTATTTTATCTCCTTAAGTGTCAATGTCCTCACCTATAAAGTGAGGATAAGGGTACCTTACAGGGCTTTTTTTTTTTTTTTTTTTTTTAGTTTGTGTCCTTTTAATAAACACACTTGCATAGTTATATTACAATTTTGTAAAAATAACAACAGATGACCTCATGCGTCCCCTGCATCGGCAGGCGGACTCTCAACCACTGCGCCACCAGGGAAGCCCTACAGGGCTTTTATGAGGATTAAATGAGAACATGCACTAAGTACATGGCTTAGCACATGGTAGCCATTAGTTGTATTACTCAGACTTGTTATCCCTGCTTCAAAGGCCCCATATTATATTATCTATCAACCCCATGTCTATAAAAAGCCCTCAGATCTTCTTTCTTTTAGATAAGAAAGATCTTCCTATTACTAAAGGACCTTATAGGAGGAAGTGAGTTGATCTCTAAAACTGCAATAAATATGAAGCAACTTGCTTTTTCTCTCATTTTATACATGTTAGCATGTTAACTTACACAATTTGCTTAAACATTCCCCAAACTCACACTGAGATCATACAAAATAAGTCCAAGTGATTCATGAAATTAGCAATGGTGGGCTTGGAGACTTGTGATGGGAGTGGAGGAGTTGAGCAGAGAGTTACAGAGACTGACTCAGAGATCTATGGAATAACCTGTCCTCTGTTTTTTCTTCAGGGCAGAGAGGCAGATAGGAACCATGGTAGCCTAAGCTCCCCAAATTCTCCCAGACTGTGGGAATCTTCTTGGCCTCTGTGGGAAATTATCCCATCAAGAAGGCTGGATAGGGTAACAGAAAACAAGATTTCTGGACTTGTTTCCAGTACAAATTGTCATGCTGGGGAAGGAGGAGCCATTACAGAGCTGTATGACTGCATGGGACAGTCTCACCTGTCCAACATATGGGTAGGCATCTTCAGAGTCAATGCCCCGGTTCTTCTGCACATACTGGAAGGCATTGGTCATGTAGCCCCCTCCACAGCCATCATTCTCAGACACACAGTCCACCAGGTTCTGTGGACTCAGATTTAAGAGTTTGCCAGTTTTCTTCTTGAGTTGGCCCTCCAGGGCACCCACAGAGCTAAAAGCCCAACAGGAACCACACTGACCCTGAGAGGCATAACAGAGAAACTACCAGTCATTGCTGTTCACACTTTTTGTTTCTTCCTTCTACCTGCCTGATGAAATTCCATATGTTTTATAAATTCCAGCACCTGTCCCCTTTGCTGTGAAGTCTTCCTATTTCCCTTCATTTAACCTTTGTTGCAGTGCTCTATTGCTATTGTTGCTATTGATAACTGTTGTTACTATTGTTACCATTAGCTGTAGTAAAGCAGAATACAGCTCTTCCTCCAATGAATCCATCATAAATTGAAAATATAGTAAGTCGAAAATGCATTTAATACCCCTAACCTACTGAACATCAAAACTTAGCCTACCCTACCTTAAATGTGCTCGGTACACTTACGTTAGCCTTCGGTTGGGTAACACCATCTAACACAAAGCCTATTTTATAATAAAGTGTTGCATATCTCACGTAATTTATTGAATACTGTACTGAAAGTGAAAAACAGACTGGTTGTAAGTGTATTGGTTGTTTACCCTCGTGATCATGTGGCTGACTGGGAGCAGTGGCTCTCTACCACAGGCCAACAACAAGAAAAGATTTCATACCACATATCCTAGCCTGGGAAAAGATCAAAATTCAAAATCTGAAGTACAGTTTCTATGGAATGCCTATCACTTTCACACCACCATGAAGTCAAAAAATCATAAGGTGAACCATCAGAAGTTGGGGACCATCTGTACTGGTTTTGCAACACACTAGATGTGTAACCTTGGGTAAATTACTAAACCTCTCTGTACCTCACTTTCTTTATGTGTAAATTGTGGATAATAACAGTATACTTAATGGAATTATGAGAATTTAAAAAGTTAATTCATGTAAAGGATGAATTATTATGTGTAATAATAATAATCTCTCAAAACGTGCTAGCTATTATTATTAGTGTTTGTTTAGCTAGATTATACATTTTTCTTTCTTTCCTGTTCTATTTTTTAAAACTGGGGATTTCTTGAGGACACAGGTTATGTCTTAGTCATATTGAATCTCTACTGCCTAGCACTATATCTGGTAGGTTCTGAAAAAAATGTGTTTGTTGAATGAATGTTAAATCAAATGTTCATCTGGTGGATAAAATCAGCCTTGTTAAGGTTGTGGGAAAACTTACAGTCTCATGCTGGTAAGAATATAAGATCATACAAACTTTTTTGGAAAGGATTCTGTGACCTACTGATTCCAATTTGGGGATTTGTTTTGCATAAATATTTGTATATATTCACAAAAATATATGCACACAGGTGCTTACAGCTAACACTTTGTAGAAAAGATAAAACAGAAATAACCTAAATCTACAAAAACAGATGATGAGTTAAATAACAGAATAGACTTTATTCTCTTAGCAGGGGGAGAGGTAACTTAATTCTTTGCCCTCTTTGCCTGATGCCCTCCTACCTTAAGAACAAAGAAGCAGAAAAAGGGAGAGGTCATGCCAGTTTCCATACCCACACCCAAGAGGAAGGAGGGTACCTGGTTTTTGACAGGAGTAACATATCCCTTCTTCCGATAATCAATAGAGTCTGGGCTGCCTTCCCAGTCTGGGATATAGAGGGTGTCATTACTGCGGGAATGAGAGGGGGGTATTTTGAGTCCAGTCATCTTCTGAACCACTTCTTCACTGGTCTGGGACAAAGAAGAAAGAGGCCAGGCATAAGCAGGGAACCAAGACAAACAGGGCAGGTAGACCAGGAGCTAAGGATCAACTCACCATATCCCCCAAATGGTTCATGGCCAGTTCATATGTATGGACACCAAGAGAAGCCTCGAGATTATGGATGGAAATATGCTTCAGGTTTTTTTCCCAAATTAAACGCCGAGAGATTTCATCCACCTAAACAGAGCATAGTCAGTATTGGCATAGACTGTGTCCTGTGTACAAAGTTATCTACATAATACTGTGGAGGTTTCTAGAAGAGATTAAATTTACAATCATAGAGGGTTTACAATCTAGTTGGGGAACTGACCATGGGATTATTAAGAGCATGCAAAAGAAATATATAAAACAAATAATAGAATGCAAAGCTCTGGAGACATATAGGAAAAAAATTGCTTACGGATTAATAGCATTAATCTGAGAAGGCTTCCCAAAAGAGAAATATAAGACAGTTATGAAGAAAAGAAAGGATAGGACCTGATGGAGGGTGAATTGAGTAGTAATGGAAAGTATATGTTAACAGTTAGGGACCAGGGGCAGGTTTGCTTGGTTGTAGTGGTTAAAGTATTGGGGTTGAAGAAGGGAGTCTGGAAGCTAGGATTAGATGTCTCAGGTTCCAACCCTCCCACCATGTTCCCCTCCAGGTTCCCAGGCACCTTGCTGTTATACTGCTTTCTGTAGGTCTTCTTCCATAGCTCCCACTGGGTGTTCAGCATCTCCTCGGGGTACAGAGCAAGGCTCACCACAGGCAGCAGTAGTAGAACCTTGAGCCCCCACATCCTGGAGAAGGGGATAATTAGGGGACACTCTTCTATTTACCCAGAAGTTCCTAACCTGGCTTGGGATGAGGAAATAGCTGGAACCATATTCTCAGACAGGTGGTTCTTAACCTTTGGGACTCATAGACTCCCATGACAAGCTAATAAAAATTTTCAACCCACTTTAGTCCCTCTTACCAGAAAAATGAATGCACACACAATAATTCTGTGGGGTTCATGAACCTGAAGTTAAGAATGCCTTCCTCTGGACCACGAGGCAGAGGAAAACTAGGCTTTACAAGGAAGGTAGACAGAGATTGAGGATGACTTCCATATGATAAAAACAGTGATAGTCAGGAGGGTTCTGGGTTTGGGTGGGATGCTGATACATCTGGTTACAAGTATTTTGACCTAGGGAGATTCAACACACACACACACACACACACACACACACACACACAAATATACACACACATACACACAGATACACTTGCACAGATAACCAGCAATGGTATAGAAAATGGACAATCAGAATGGGACAACACCTGTCTGCTCCAGTGTCCCCAGCAGACTTGGAGGAGATAGACAAGGTAAGTGCAGGGTGGGATGAGTGCGGTCGGAGAATACACAAAGGAGAGATTTTCAGCTAAGTTTTGCTTCCTGATCATTTCTTCAAGGCATTCTTTTGTTCCTTGCCTAAATTCTGATACTTCTCCTGATCTTGCCGGGAGAGGACAAAGGAAAAGCTGACAGCATTTCCTATTCTCGAACTATGAGATGTTTACTGTCTCCTCAGTTTTCTTATGCATTTCTTCCTCCTTTCTCTTCCTGCTCCTTCCTCAGGCAGGAAACTGTCCTAATCTCAACCAGCTGCTATGGGCAGGAAAGTTTCTTTCTTTTTCTGACCAAAAACCCCACAAAACCTCTGTGACTGCCTCACAGGACAAAAAGCCTCAGAACCAAAGTTTGTTAGAAGAATGTAAGACAGAAAAGCAATGTTCTGTGATTATTACACAGCTTTTCAGAAGTTTACTCTAGCTTCATTCACTTCTCGCAGTGTCTTGCTAATTTCATGTCCTCCATTTTAAGAGCAAGTTAGTCTGCATCAAGTCACACAGCTTGCATAAATTTTGATTTTATAGTCCAGTTTTGTGTAATCTTTGCAAACTGGCAAAATGTCCAGGACGTTTAATATCTGGAGTGTTAAGGGCTTTGAGATGTCTCAAACAGTAGGAAGACCTTACTGAGCTACCACCTCCCTGCACCACTCCTCCCCCATGCTAGTAAGTTAACCCTTTTGGTACCCGCCCACCCACCCCCAATAAAAACCAACCCTGAGAGGTCACTCCTTGAGGGATGGGTAAAGGATGCCCTATATTCTTTGCTTTCACTAATAACCATGTATACATACACACAAACCATAAAAGGAGTCCTAAAGATTTCCAGGCAGATTTTACTTAGCCAGGAAATAACCTAAGAAGGGCATCACTGTTTTCATCTGCAAACTCTATAAGGTTCATTTTGATCCCCAAGTCACTACATTCCTAATATTCCTAAAAATGGAGAACTGAAAGGAATGAGAAGCTAAAAGATCTAGGAAGTTGAAAATGTTACCTGCTGATGGGGATCTGTTCTCTGGGCTTGTCTCAGCAGAGAAGTGTGGATAATGTGGGCGGATGACTAAGGGTGCTGGATTTATTCCACCAAGATTGCGGAAGTCAACTGTAGCTGTTGGCTGGAAAATTTGGATGGGGAGGGCAGTGGAGATAGAAATGCTGAGAGGGGGATTAAGGAGGAGGGAAGGAGGCAGCAGATTTGCATCGTTTCTGTGTGCGCATGTGGAGAATGTGTGCCAGGGCAGAGAGTTGTTAGGTATTTAGTTTCACGTGGCTGCCTGCCTCTGAGAGCAGACAAAAAAAAGACCTCAATACATATTATCCAAGTTGCGGCTTACCTTCTCTTTCGTGGACAGACAAAATATTATTACACTGGGGGATTACAACTTTCCAGTCCCTTTCCTGTTATTATTCATCTTTCCAACTTTGAAACCTCGGTTTTCCAGTATGTCTGACCCTCACGTGAGGGATGAGGAAATGAACACAAAAGGCTAGAAAAAAGTATGTAAGGGAAGTTGCAGGCTCCAAAATCATTTGTATTTTATAAACTTGTTGACTAAAAGTTGTCATTGCTTCCAGGCAGGGGAATATCTTTCCCAGACTAACATGGTTTTGCTGAGGAAGGATACGTCCAGAAAAGTCCAGATGAAACCAGTTCTAAAAGTAACCAGAAACAGTATTCCTGGTTATTTATGACAGCACTTGAATCAATGCCATAAGCACTGACAAATTCACATGTGACTTCTTTGTTGCTAAAACTCTCAGATGGTGGGATGCCTGATGAACATTATCTGTCTCAATTATTAAAATCCCTGATCCAGGTCCAGTCATATGAGCTTCAACAAATGCTTCCCTCAACATCCAGGCATGTGACAGATCATAAGAATCTAGTTCAGTCCCTAAACCACAACCCCAAACATTTTCTTCCATAAACAGATGTGTGCGAAGAGGAAAAGGGGTCCAGGGAACAAAAAGGATAACACATGGGATCTAGAGTCAGTTTCTAGCTGGATTACACACACAGACCCTCAAGAACACAGGCTTATGCTTATGGGTTTTTAAAATTTCCTAATGAAACACATTGTCCTAGAGGGAAACTAGGCCTAGACCTGAATAGTTTAAATTTCCCCATCCTTAATACCTTTAAATCCAGAAGTGCCCTATTGGTCTCAAGTTCCAACTTTCCACCTCTCCAAAGGACTTGGGCAATCCCCCACCCCCCACCCCATGGTCAGATGTCTCTGATGATTTTACTCAGAATGAGTCAAGATCAGGAGGACAACCAAGGAATGCTGAGTGATCAGAGCCCTATGATTTCTGATTCCTGAAATTACAGACATATTGTGCTTTCATGTTTGTATATTTGAAGCGCAAGCTATGGATTCAACTAGTTGTGGGTGTTTGTTGTTTATGAGCTGGGAAGGAATAGTAAAGCCGCAAACAAGATCACACAACACAGGAAAGTTTACAAAAGGAAAAAATATTTTGTTTTAAAATCTTTGCTACATGTCATTATTTTTGCCACTGTAAGGCTCAGCACAGATGCCAGCAGTACAGAAATGGCCAACAAGGAAAAAAAAAACAATCAAAAATAAAACCCTGAAGGAAAAGCAGAAACAAAACCCCCAGAGCATCTTCTCCCGCCCCTCCCCTTCCCCAGAAGCCCTATAACTGTACAATATTAATAGTCCTGATCACATTTAAAAACAGCTGATTATTAAAAAACAAGGATTTCATTGGAAACTCAACTTTTTGGTTTCTTAAACTGTGATATAAATATATATGTATATTGTATGTGTGCACATAGAATAAAAAAATAAACTGTCTCCTTTTCCATTCCACTACCTGGCACCAGATTGGAGACAAAAGGGAGGGAAACCTAATGACATTCTTTCAGCCTCTCCAAGGCCACCTATGTTCCTCAGTCCCCTATGGCTACATTTAGTATGTCTTCTCCTTATTCAATCTTGCACTTAAGATACTGGCCTAAGCCAAACAAATAAACAAAAAAAGGCCGATACACATGGCTGTTACCTGAGGAAGGGAAAGAGAG